CTGTAACCGAGAAAGTAAGGCAAATAATTTATTCCTTTAAAACAAAAAAAAAAAATGAAGGAGGAGGAGGTAGTAGAGATGATGAATCAGAGATTGAGCAAAACTAGATCTTGGCAAAATGGAACTGCCTCCATTGCTCTATGGACAGCTTCACTTGCAGCAAAACCTGTAACCCCTGGTGACCTTTGAGCACACAGGCTTGGGGTTTCTGAGTTGATTTATGTTTGCCTGTTTTACCACAGTTGGACACTTCCATTTCATCTTTTCATGGAGGAATTAGCAGAGTTTTCAGGAAACAATACTACTCTTCAATTCCAAGGGGTTGGAAATTGGTGTAGAGAGCGAGATGTTCATGAGTATGTCTGTTACCTCTCCTAATTAGTGACATTTTAATTTTATGTTTTCTAACTTCTTCTTTTACAATTTTTATCAAAACCTTCCCTACCTCTTGCAAACCTAATTTTATTTTAATGCCCACTATTAAGATAATGAACTAGGATGGCAGCACACCATCATCTGGTCTGGAATATATCACCATTAACTCACCTTGCTTGGGACTTCAGAGAAACGCATTCCTTGTAGAGACTTCTTGGATTGATTGATTGATTGATTGATTGATTATTTATTTATTTATTTTGCTCTTTACGCAAAGTCTGAGGTCAAGGCAAGGTCATAGCTATACAGTAATTGAACTTATAATTTTGCTTTCTCCAGCTAGTACCAAAAATTTATAACAAACATCATATTAAGACACAATTATTGTAGCCCCTCCAAAAACGGCTGCAAAATTTTAAAAAGTGGTTAATATAAGCCCTCCGAAGTCATGCTCGTAAAATTTCTAGCTCTTCAGATCCATTTGTACCACATAATACTAAGAATTACATATCAAATACAGAAAATGAACAGGACTTATTAGATTCTGAAATAGTAAATTGCTTTCAGTCCTCAACTCAGATTTGAATATATCAAACATGAGCAGCACATAAAAAAAATACAATGAAAAGTTTAATAATGCACTATTAATAATTAAAAGATCCATAGTCCAGTATGAATTCCAGTTTTTAAGTCTGCTCACTTCAGGAGAGAAAATAGTTTCTAAAAATCAAACCATTAAACACACAGGGACAGGTTTTAAAAATAGAAATGCATACTTCATGACATTTTAAGATTCTCAATATCCTGTATACTTGTGTTCTTTCATTATCTGGAAAGTCATTAAAACAAATAATGAGACTGGAATCTAACGAAAAGGTACACTATTGGTGCTAACTCTTATTGGTAATATATATCACTTCCTGTATATGAAATCCCTGAACTGCTAATAAAAATATTTAAAACACAGAGCTACAACAAATTGTGTTGCAAATCAGGTTATCATTATCTTGTATAAACCATGAAAATTGGAATCATGTGAGCAGAAGGTTAGATTAATTCTCCATTCTCATTATAAGCACAGGTGTAGCACAAACACCATGTGAAATAACCAATTAAAATGAAAAAAAAAATCTGCTTTTTCATTAGCTGCTTTCACTGCATGACCAATTAGAAAATTATTTAATATTAATATTCTGCATATACCAAAAGTAATTTTCATAGTCACTGACATAGGCAAGAGAGCAAAACACAGCTGTTTATCTATGGTACTGTTCATGACCTGCAGGCTTTTAGAGGGAAGGAACTCTGCCTGCTAACTTTCTTTTTAAAACATATTTTATGGATGTGATTTATACCATTTACCTAAAAATAGGAAAAGCCTTTTTTTTTTAACAGGTGAGAAGCCAAGCCTCAGAGAAATTGAGTGACGTTTCTGAGGCTACATGTTACCCAAGAGATGTTAATAATTTGCTGAATGACACACAGCTGGCAAATAGTGGCAGGAGGACGAGGACCCTTCTCTCTACTCCTGATCAGAGCATGACCACTATTGTGACACTCATCTCTAATATCCCAGATTAAATACATAGCTAATAATTAGCTGGCTTTGAGCCAATTACCACTGGCGACAATCCTACTGGTAAGGCAGCTAAGAAGCATGAATGTGAACATTCTGTAAACTGAGGATTCTGATGGCTGAACTGCATGTGTGTATAGACAGATAAGGCTACTCAAAAGAGGATTCAATGACTTCTCTATTTCCTAATCTTGATTCCTTCATATGCATACTCTCAGATTCCCATTGGCCAATTCATAATAATCAACTCAGGTTTGAATGCATGACAATAACACCCATGGAATCATAGAAAAATTACATCTCATGTTGGAAAGGGCTTTAACAGTCACCTATCTTGGTCATAGGAGTCCCTGGGTGATGTAAATGGTTAAGCACTCAGTTACTAACCAAAGACTGGCTGTTAAAAGCCACCCAGAGGTGCCTTGAAAGAAAGTCTTGGCAACCTGCCTCTGAAAGGTCACAGTCAGGGAAACTCTACGGAGCACAGTTCTACTCTGCAGCACATGCAGTTGCCATGATTCAGAAATGACTCAGTAGCAACTGGTTTCTGGTAGGCTGGTCACTGACATGAATCCCTTCTACAGGATCCCCACCAAGAAGATGGGTATCACTTATCACTTCACTTGAGAGTCCATGCCATCTAAGGACAAGGCAAACTGTTAGAAGGTTTTGCCTTACTTGATCTAAAATTCTTTCACTTCCAACTAACTCCTCAGGAGCTCTGGTAGCATAGTGTCTAAGACACTTGGCTGCTAACCAGAAGGCTGGCAGTTCAAACCCACCAGTCACTCCTTGGAAGGAAGGTTGGCCAATCTACTTCCATAGTGATACCGCCTCAGAAACCTAAGGAGGGGTCACTATGAGCCAGGTCTGACTCCATAGCACATAACAACAACAACTAACTCCTTAGGGCAATCTAAACCATTCCAATCTCACATCCTTAGGATAGGCTTTCAAACATTTAAACATAGTCACCATGCCCCCTAGCCCTTTTCCCTCCTCTCCATAGGTTAAACATTCCTGGTTCTTAAAAAAACTTCCTTCTAGGATCTGTTTTTGAGTCCACTCACCCACTGGGCCACTTGCTGCTCAGTGTACTGAGGTTCTTCTGAGTTCCTCTTAAGGTGTATGGTGGATAACACTAAATGGAGTTATTCCAGGTCTGCTGTGGCCCCCATGAAGAGAGGAAACACCTCACCACAGGCTCTTAGCTAGGTGTCCACACATACTAGGTGCTCTCTACTTCTCTTTTGGTGGCCATGATAATTTGTTTTAATGACAGCACAGATGTAAGCTGCCTATGGAATAAAACAAAAAACCAAACTCATTGCCATTGAGTCAATTCTGACTCATAACAACGCCGATGTGTCCGAGTAGAACTACATTACATAGTTTTTATTCTATGTATTTTATTCTACTTACAGAGGGATTTTTTTTGGAAATGGATTCCTGGGCCTTCCAAGGTTTCTCTGAGTGAACTCAAACTGCCATCCTTTTGGTTAACAGTCAAGTGCTTAAAGGTTTTCACCACCCAAGGACTCCTACCAATAGGATGTTGTTGTTATGTGCAGTGTAGATATAAAAGTAAGAATTCTTTAAATTAAAACATTAAAAAAAAAATCCAATATAATGAAATAGTAATAGTAAGCTTCAGAATGTTAGTGAATTACAGCTTCTATAGTATATGAAAGGAGCACTGGTGGCGTAGTGGGTAAGGCACTTGGCTGCTAACCAAAAGGTCAGTGGTTCAAACCCACCGCCTGCCCCACAGGAAGGAGATGGGGCAACCCTACTTCTGTTAAGATTTACAGCCTTGGAAATCCAATGGGGGTTGCTATGAGTTGTAATCAACTCAATGGCAGTGGGTTTTGGGGTTATAGTACGTGAACAACTAATATTGAGTTATTTGAGGTCATGGTGTGTATCTGTATATGAAAATAGCTAACTAAGTTCCCAAATATTTTATTTTAAAAAAACAATATCACCCTTCCCATCTTAAAACCCTCTCAACATTTGATTCTCTTTAGTGTACTTCATAATTATCCCAGAGTATCTTATATGTAACCTCTCTTTGGACTTATGCTCCATACAGCAGAGCCATGTGTTTAGATGGCTTTGGGGTGAATTCAAATACAAAAACATTTTCCTTCTGGGCAAAGTAATAAAATGACATTCTTGCTCCTCCCACTATAAGTCAAACTGAGGTCAGTTCCCCCATCCATGTATCTGTTTAAATAAACTGGTCCAGCTGTTTGTTTCTCAAATGCCCTTTGACCCTGTGTCTCATCCTCCCTGCTTTTGTGACAAAATGCTTTACTTTCCATTATGGAAGATTCTAAATTATCAAGAATTTTGTAAACACTGAACCTCACCAAAAACAGACATTTAGATGTTATGTGAACTTAAATGAATGTATTCTTTCCTTGAAAAACAATCATTTTAAGAAGCATCAGTAAAATAAAAAAAAAAAAAAAGCGGATGGGGTGGATTTTAAGGTCTTACACATGTGTGCTCATATATATATATATATATATATATATACACACACATTTACGTATGAACACATAAATATGTCTTAGAGCTTAGACATAGGAAGAAGCAGTGTTTTTAAAGAGAAACAGAAACAATGACAAAATTCTACTTTGAATGTGCTATAGAAAATGTACTCACCAAGGGCCATAAAATAATTTAAAATGAAATATATCTATGACACATCCACAATCTTTAGCATTTGATAAGGTCTCTTTGAAAAGTTAAAGAATAAAAGTTTTATAGTTTTACTATTTTTTTAAATGACATCAATGTTTTTATATTTTTATTTAAAAAATATATTATAAAACATTTCAAACAAAAACAGTTTTACTATCGATGTCCAAATATTATAGCTTTAAATGTGATATAAAATGCCAGGACTATATTGCAATATGACAGTTTTCCTTAATTATTAAAATAGATAGTTGTACATACACCTTAACTTAATAGAATGTAAGTCAAAGTTGCCATAAATTAGGCTTTTAAAAAAGGAAACCTTTAAGCTAACTATGCTGTA